TATTTTTTTCTCATATTAAAATGTATTTTGTTGGTGTGTTTACGTTTACGTATTCCCATTGTGGGTGTTTTACGCATGCATCAGATTTTTGGGTTCCTCACATATGGTATCAGAGGTGTGGGTCACTCTCAATCGAACAATAACGGGGATCGTTTCAATTATGACAGCTTGCAGATAGAAACATTGCATGATCGTATACTAATAATGACAGAATTAGTACCCCAGTGGAGGGCATCCCCCACCCGGCGCTTCTTACCGTTACTGTGAGACTTACAAATCCAGACCTCTCCTCCTCCTGAACCGTTCACAATACCCTGTGGTAGTACCATAATCATCTCAATAAAGCGATCACTTTCCAATGCCCATTTTGATCTCGGGAGTTACCCGGGTGGTGTCACACTGTACTCATTGTTTTAGCATGTCGCAAATTCCGATATGGCTTGTGCAATGGCCAGAGAGTGACAGCGGCGGGGGCCGGGCTGCAACCTTTTTAGACAGTTTATAACATTTCAAAGTGCATGGGATTGACACTCCAAGACATCATAAATGTACAGTAACGCCAATTACACAACCGAAGTAGACAGCAAGCCGTCCATGGAGACGTGATCAACGTCAATACATAATAATGGTAATAAGCCGGATAAACCGAAAAGTACCCATTGTACCCATCAAACAGTCAGCTGGGTTGCCCCATGGGGGTATTGACCCATGGGCGAAACTGTAGTGGGCGCTACGCAACTTGCCGTCGTCCCGGCAGGTGAAGCTGACAGCTCAGTCCGCTAAGACTTACTGTATAGCGACCCCTGCCTACTCGTAAGGTAAAGTTGTTTGGGGACTCCACTAATCGCAGCACGCAGCACCCATTTTTTACATAAATATACGTAATATTAGCGTAACTACCATTCACACACTTGCATACACACCACACTCGCACAGCGCAGGGTCTGCGCCCACAGTGCACTGCAGCACTGCGGCACAGACCTTGCCAAACCTATGCTATCGCTCTCTTCCGGGCGTGTTATTTATTTTTATCGAATCAAAGTGAGCTGTGGCTTTTTGCCGGCTGTTTTATTTTCATCGAATCAGAGCGAGCTGTTTGGGCGGGTCCGTAAATAAATTAACGTCCAGATACGCACGCAGACGACCAAACCAGCGTAGTTGTTTAAGATTTTGCGTTGCGACCATCACTGTGAATATGGTGTTGCGTGAAAGTAGGTGCAATTGTTGGCCGAAGAGACGCTGTTGTGCGGCAGGTTTATTTATTTATATTTGTCGAATGAAAGTGAGCTGTGGTTTTTTGCCGGCTGTTTTATTATTTTTTATCGACGAATCAGAGCTAGCTGTTTGGGCGGGTCCGTAAATAAATTAACGTCCAGATACGCACGCAGACGACCAAACCAGCGTAGTTGTTTAAGATGGGTGGCCTTCCTGTAAACACAATGTCCCAAGGATCCATCAGGTCTCCTCTCAAACAGAACATCCAAGAATGGTAGTTTGCCATCTTTCTCCACTTCCATGGTGAATTTGATGGATGGGTGTCTGGAATTGATGTGGTCCAGAAAATGGTTCAATGCTGGGAGGCCATGTGGCCAAATGACGAAAGTGTCATCCACATATATCTTCCACAGGGAAGGACGCAGGGTGGACGTCTGGATAGCCTCTGATTCAAACTTTTCCATGAACACATTGGCTATCACTGGTGACAAGGGGGAGCCCATGGGGGTACCCTCATTCTGTTTGTAGAAGGTGCCATTCCAGGTAAAGTAAGTCTTGGTGAGGCAATGCCTAACCAGCGCAGGTACATCCGAGTTCAGTCCATGTTGGACCAAGTCTTCGATTATTGTTAAGGTGTCCAGAACTGGGACTTTGGTAAACAGAGATACCACATCAAAACTGACGAGGATATCGTCAGGAGACAGTACCATGTCCTTGACCATAGAGACCAATTGGGTTGAGTTAAGTACTGCTGTCGAGGTCTTGCCAGTGAAGGGGAGCAGAGTATCTGATAGTAAACGGGCCAGTTTGTAGGTAGGAGAGTTGATTGTACACTATCGGTCGTAGTGGGGAGCCTTCTTTATAGATCTTGGAGGTCTTGCAGCCGAGGGTTTTAAGGAGGGACGTTTGGTTGGTTCGATTAGGGACGTCGAACTCGTGATGATCTTGTTGGTCTTTGTCGTTAGGCTGTTAGTCGGATCCTATTGATGATCTTGTTGGTCTTTGTCGTTAGGCTGTTAGTAGGATCCTACTAACAGCCTAACGACAAAAACCAACAAGATCGAACCAACCAAACGTCTTTTACGAGGATTCATGTCTGCATTTACCACAATACTTGCAGTCAAATGCAAACAAAACACACTATGATAATATATGCATTTTTCGATTTAAAGCTTTCGTGACTGCAGGGATTCATCTTGGTTTTTTTGGTAAAGTCACGTAGAAGGGAAGTAATAAAATAATAAAAATAAAACATAATAAAATAATTCTCACGACGTTTCGGCTACCACGCAAGCAGCCGTCTTCAGGTAAAGAATGAGACACTGCCAAGCTAGGAGCTTATTTATAAGCTGAGTTGGGGGTGTAAGAAGAGCGCCTTAACAAAAGAATGTGCATATCAAGAGGAATTTTGCATATTCATGGGAAATGCGTAGGAGGTGGGCGGGGGGGTTTCAAAGTCATATTATGCCCATGCATTATGCAGGATCAGCAGCACCAAAGGGAGGGGGCAGGGGGTAGCATTAACAAAGGGAGGGAATGTTAATAGTATGTAGAAGCAATGAAACATGTGAATGGGAGAGCGGTGGCAGGATACCCGCAGCGGAGCAAATAATGCATTCCCTGTGGAGAACACAAGATACACAGTTAATGCCAGTGAGTGGACTGCGGTCTGAAAGTCACCGTAAACATGAACAACAATCAGTTAAGATCCGAAATGGTGTATTACGTCCTTCCAATGATTGCTGAGCCAGAATCCATCTTCTCGGTTGAAATTGTCTCTGTGTTTGTATATGTGGATCGCCTCATGAACGAATCTCTCATGGTAGCCAGATGGCTTGCAGAGAACCTCTGTCTTGGAGAAGTCAATGTCCTGTGAGCCCACTGAATTGTAACAGTGATCTGCCACGGCTGAGGTGTTTGTCCTACCGTGTTTCAGGTCTGCTTTATGTTCATGGATGCGGTCCGAGACATGTCGTTTGGTTTCTCCAATGTAACTGCTACCACAGAGGCAACTTAGTTTGTAGACGCCAGGGTACTGTATGTCTGGAACCACGTCTTTTACAGACGGGACCAGATCACGGATTTTTGTACTGTGTTGAATCGGACCTGAATCTTGTGTTTAATCAGGATTTTGGATATCTTTTTTGTGACCCCAGCAATGTAGGGTAAGGTGATGGTTTTGAAAGGCTCCTCAACAGGATCCTTCTTGATGGTTGGAGTGATGGCTTTATGGATTGTGTAGTCGGAGTAACCATTAGTCTTAAGAGCTTGGCATACGTGTTTGAGTTCACTGGCAATGTGTTCCTGGTCGGAGATGCATTGGGCTCTATGGTATAGAGTCTTGATGAGGGAATTCTTCTGGGATGGATGGTGGTGGGAATCCGGTTTTAGGTATTACTTCCCTTCTACGTGACTTTACCGAAAAAACCAAGAATATATATGCATTGTCATTGAAACTGATTGGTCCACACCAAGGGACGGCTTTTTTTGAGCCTCGACCCAATTGGTGCTCCACCAGAGGACGCCAATTGGTGCTCGACCAGAGGATGCCAAAAGGCGTACAGCTCACACATTATCATAGTGTGTTTTTGCGGTTGGGGGTTGTGAGGGGTCCTACGATCCCTCGCAAACACTCCCAATGGCCGGGGGGGCTACGGACGTACTGGCCTGCAACGGCAGACATGCAGACCTCGGTGAGGGACTCTGGGGTCACCCGCGTCCCTCACGGAGGTCCGCACCTCGGCTGAGAAACGTATATAAGGCAGACCTCTGGAGAGGTCCTGGCAGTTTAAGACGACCAGTTGGAGCAAGAAGACCTGCTAGAATAGGACCCTGGACCCCTAGCTTCGCCGTCTTTTTAAGGGCTGAAGCTCTGTGAGGCCAGTGGTGGACCCTGGGTCTCCCATAGGATATTATAGCCAGAGGACCTGGAGCACAGCCGGGGCAGGCATGTTACGTAGGAGGCGTATAATATACCGAGTGGAAGTACTCGAGATAAACTGTATGAGGAGTTATGTTTAGTAGTTAGGGCGCGTGTATATAATAAAGACGTGCCCCCAACAAAGTGTCTCCGGAGAAAACACGACACAGAAATGAATCCTCGTAAGGTTTCAGTTTTGTTGCCAGAAAAAAGGGGAAAACTCCTATTATTAACTCCTATCATTTTTCATTGCTGGAGGGTTTGCCCCCCTCCCTACCTTAAAATACTGACTCCGCCCCTGAGTGTGTGACAGTGTCAAGTTTGTATTTGCAGTAAAGTCTTTTAATTCTATTGAGCACGGAGGTTATATCAAAACGGTAGTTTATTTTTGTTTTCCTCTGGAAGTCTTTGTAAGATTGGAGTCAGGAAGTTATCACAGCACACGTGCAGCTGAAGTCGGAACTTCATACCAGCATTCAAGGACATCTGTGCCTTGCTTCACACCTCTAAGTTGCAATTGAACATTAATTTATGCATTTGTGCATAACACAAATAGTATTTTTTTCAACACCCTTTGCTATGTCAGCTGAATTTAGCTTTCATAAATAGTCATTTTGAAGCCAGACAGCCGAAATCGTGTGCTCGGAGTTTTGGGTTAACATTCATTTTGAAGATACTAGGGCTTCCAGGCATGTTTATAACCATTTGCCCTCTCATTGTGTGCAATAACAGCCCGTGTGATGAATTTGGGACACTTTTTCACTATCATGAATATATGTATAAGTATAGACGTGTAAGTCACGTGTGACTATATATGCATTGATACTGATGTGTAGATGGTGTGGATATATTTTTCTGTCTGCAGCTGTCGCTTCCTCTGCAGAATTGGTCTGATGGAGCAAAGGCACTCGGCGCGACTCGGTGCAAAAAGGCAACAATGCGACCTGCGTGCCAACAGCACAGATCGTACTGAACATTTGACACAGCACCAGAGAACTCAAACAGCAGAGAAACCCGTCAAGTGCAGTGTGTGTGGGAAAACGTTTGCACAGTCATCTACTCTTGTAAAACACCAGAGAACACACACAGGAGAGAAACCCTTCAAGTGCAGTGTGTGTGGGAAGGCATTTTCACAGTCAGCTACTCTTGTAGCACACCAGAGAATACACACAGGAGAAAAACCCTTCAAGTGCAGTGTGTGTGGGACGGCGTTTGCACAGTTATCTGCTCTTGTAAATCACCAGAGAACACACACGGGAGAGAAACCCTTCAAGTGCGGCGTGTGTGGGAAGGCGTTTGCACTTTCATCTACTCTTGTAGAACACCAGAGAACACACACGGGAGAGAAACCCTTCAAGTGCAGTGTGTGTGGGAAGGCGTTTGCACAGTCATCTACTCTTTTAAAACACCAGAGAACCCACACGGGAGATAAACCCTTCAAGTGCAGTGTGTGTGGGAAGGCGTTTGCAAAGTCATCTACTCTTGTTAAACACCAGAGAACCCACACGGGAGATAAACCCTTCAAGTGCAGTGTGTGTGGGAAGGCGTTTGCAAAGTCATCTACTCTTGTTATACACCAGAGAACACACACGGGAGAGAAACCCTTCAAGTGCAGAGTGTGTGAGAAGGCGTTTGCACGGTCATCTACTCGTGAAGCACACCAGACAACACACACGGGAGAGAAACCCTTCAAGTGCAGTGTGTGTGGGAATGCGTTTGCACGGTCATCTGTTCTTGTAATACACCAGAGAACCCACACGGGAGATAAACCCTTCAAGTGCGGTGTGTGTGGGAAGGCGTTTGCACATTCATCTACTCTTGCAGAACACCAGAGAACACACACAGGAGAGAAACCCTTCAAGTGCAGTGTGTGTGGGAAGGCGTTTGCACAGTCATCTGCTCTTGTAAAACACCAGAGAACACACACCGGAGAGAAACCCTTCAAGTGTGGTGTGTGTGAGAAGGCGTTTACACGGTCATCTACTCTTGTAGAACACCAGAGAACACACACGGGAGAGAAACCCTTCAAGTGCAGTGTGTGTGGGAAGGTGTTTACACTTTCACCAAATTTTCAAAGACACCAGAGAACACACAAGCATCACAATATCCACAAGGAGTGGAGTCTGAAATCAGCTTGTGAAAGTCAAAGTGATGCAATGAGTGTATCCCTCATGAAACAAGAACCGGAAGAAAATCCCAGCTTGGATACATTGAAAGATATCGAGGTGAAACGTGAAGATGTGAAGGTGAAATGTGAAGAAGTGATGGTGAAGAGCGAAGAAGTGAAGGTAAAATGTGAAGATGAAGATTCAACTCCAAAATCGGACCTTCACATCGATGGAGGCAACGTGAAGCAGGAGGATAATTCTCACTGTGAGACAGAGCGAGGCAACTCCCAGCAGTTTGTGGAAGTGGAGGTGTGGGTTGACTTCCTCCGTGACAATAGAAAGTCAAATGGAGACCCGGGAGATGTGTAAGCTTGAGACGATGTCGCTCCAATAGACGCACCTTTGTCACAGGCCTTTAATGACAAGAATGTGAAGTTGAACACTCGGTTCTTAGTTTCAACCTGCAGGGTAAGAGCGGCCAGTCTTTGTGGACCTGTGTGTTGGGTAGATTTCTAACCAGGAGCGAGAGCCAATAAGCTCCCAAGCATTCACTGTTATAAATTGCATTCATATGGTGCTTACTTAATCGCCTCGGCAACTCGGAGTTTTGTATCGTATCTCGTTTCAAACACTCGAAGAGCACCCCCAAGTAGCAGCTGCCCCTGTGTGGTGTTGTGTATGTACCCCCTTTTTATTTTTTTTAATATTATTTTTTTTTTAAGAATTATTCTGCCAACATAGATGATATCGTTTTTTTTAATAGACGCGGTCACGTGGGAACGAACACGCCCCCACACTTCCACAGAGGCCCCCACACTACCACAGATGCGCGCACACCTCATTTCAAAGGAAAGAGGACATGAAAGGGGGGGCAATAAGGTAATAAAAACTCCCCTAAATTCACACAAGAGGAACAAGGGAGGGGGGAATGGCAGGCGGGGGGTTGCAGGGCCGGGCATCACGGAGGAAGAGATAATTATATTCTGAACAAAGATAAGCCGGGATATCAGATTAAATAATCACAAGAAGTCAAATAATAAGTACGGAATTAAAGTAGAAGAGGAATCAAGGGCGGAGAAGGCTCTCAAAATTAACCAAACACAACAACCCATGGGAAGCGAGCAACACGGCCGCCTTTGTCTTTCCGAGAGGATCTCCACACGCAGGCACAAAGCTAGGAAATGACACCCATAAAAGGGGCAATGGCTCAAAGGAAATTAACACGTCTTCGAATAAATAAGCGCATGCGCCGGGTGCTCCCACCGTGAAAACAACCGCCTTTGTCTCCCCACAACACGGACAGCAAAAATTGCACACGCGAGGAAATAACATTTCCGTGAGAGATCGGGTCACGATGAAACATCGTGAACACGGTTTCGGCATAACCAAGCAGCAAATAAGTCGCATTTCAACTTCCAAACCAAACCAACTTAAGCTGTGTGAGACAAAGGATGTGATCCCAGAGCAAGGAAGGGAATAATTAAGCTCGCTTAACGCGTAGGTTTTCGCGACAAATATTATTCAGTAACAAAACATGGATTCGAATGTTTTTTTTTATAACTCGACGCGAATCATCGGTCTGGCTAATGGATAACTTCGGTGGCACCGTCACGAGGCCCCCACCCCCACCCCTTTCTTCCAGAACGACACACATATGTGTCTTCAAAGCTAATAAACACACGGACAAACACGCACGCGAAACACACGGACGGACACACACACGGACGCAGATGGTTCAGCCCACAGGAAGGTTTTATGACACAGCCTTTGAACAACTCGGGAAGCCGAGTGGAATTTCCAGATATAAACCGAAGAAAAATCCATACAAAGCAGATCGTCAGGGGCTCTGGCCCCCATCACAGATCTCCAGGGCTTCGGCTCCATCTCTTCTCGTCGCCGCCAACGAAGAAGCTTTTCGTCATCCAGAAGGACGAGGATCGCGCGGTGCCGAGGCATCGCCTATCGCACACGAGTGTACGAGCCCAGCTCTCTTGCCGTGTCACCACGCCGAGGTGCATCGCCTGCCGCACACGAGTGTACGAGCCCAGCTCTCTTGCCGTGTCACCACGCCGAGGTGCATCGCCTGCCGCACACGAGTGTACGAGCCCAGCTCCCCTGCCGTGTCGCCACGCCGAGGTGCATCGCCTGACCACGCAAACGAGCGTGGCCGCGCCGTCAGTCATCGTACGGGGTCAGCCGAGGGAGGAGTCGGAAAGCGAGCCGCTCACCCTCTCACCGCAGCTGCGCAAGCCAGAGGGTCCTTCTCCGAAAGTCGTTCGTACCCACAACTTCCCCCACCAATAGACCCACACACGCACGCATCGACGCCCCACTCACCTGTGAGACTATCCCATCTAGTTCACCCTTGCCATCGTATCAACCCTAGTCAATTATCAGAAGACTGATTATCAACTACATGAACCATCAGCTGGCCATGCGGAATCGCGGCCCATCGAGTGATTAAGAGTCCGTCGGTGATAAGAGTGAGGTTGTTACCGTGTCTTTCCCTTGTTCCGCTCATCACATAGGCGATCAATAGACTCGTCGAGGCAAACTCAACCTCTCGGAATCCTCATTACGAATCGACCGAACACAGAGAGAGAATATCTTGTCAAACCAGTTTCCTTTGTCCCAGAGTCTCGCCGAAGAATTAATTAAAACAGAGCCAGATTCGCTCTCGCGCCCACACGCCCTCACCCACCATTGTATCAAACATTCCGTTAAGAGGATTTTTATACTTGCCGATGAATCTATTGACATATACTTTCGCCTCTTGGGTATAATAAGTGCTATATTACCGCCATAGGAAGTGTGTCATGCTTGTTTTCAAACTCGACCAGTCGCCGATTGTGATCGATACATGGGCGAACTAATGAGATGCCTGGTAGGAAAAGTAGAGGTTACAATTGATAGAAGTGTTTTTAGTCATTCAGTTCGTTAAATGCATAAGTGTTTATTCATTCATTTTAGTCAAATGCATAAGAGTTTCGTTATTCATATTGCATAATTGCATAATTTCACAAATGTATAAGTGTTTATTCATTCATTTTAGTCAAATGCATAAGAGTTTCGTTATTCATATTGCATAATTGCATAATTTCACAACTGCATAAGTTTTTGTCGTTCATATTAGTTAACTGCATAATCTTGCCCATGAATTATTGACGCATGTTTGACCTGCATGATAGAATGTCACGTGTTTGTTAGAATAAAATTGTTATCACAGAAGCATATTGAGTGTTCTTTCCAAGTCCATGCAAAACCATCTTATTCATAAGAGCTGTATCCTGCGATGAGATATGAAAATGGAGACCTAAAATATTATAACACACACTAGGATAATCGGTAAATGAATCTATGATAATCGTGTTATCCTGATTGATAACTCTGGATAAACGAAACTAAGCAAATTATCATAACTGCACACATTAACATAATCGCAAGCCTCCGCATAAATTACGATTATCTCCGTGATTATCATAATTTATGCATATAATCACATGCATTATCATAATTTATGCATATTAATACACACACTATCATAATTAATGCGAATTGCGCATTTTTCGGAAAATTATTAATTTTTATTATTTTCATCAAAATTTCATAATTCCAACACATACAACATAATGGGTGGCGTCGTCCGGGATCTCTCGCAGACAGTGTTTTGCATGGATGATGGAATGAATCACTTCGTGTTAACCAGAATATCGGGATCGAACATTGCATGGTAATTGTGAACGGGCGGAAAAATAAAAAACGCCCTCTAAGGTTGAAACCCAGAATAGCAGGTTAAAACAGAGACAGTGGAATTAAGATAATACCGTATCAAACCAATTGCATCCTGTGATAAATGGTGTTAGAGGTACGCACTCTGAATCGGAAAATAACAGATAGCTCGAGTCAAATTGACTACACTCTGTGAGATAATTGTTTTATATGCACTCTGAAAGGGAATGTCAAAGTAACTCCCGCAACACCTTTGAGATGCTGGGATTAAGAATAATTTTTGAATGGGTTACGGGATACGGGGAGCTCGTATTTAAACGTACCGACCAATCTGTTACAAAGCAGTACAGTCAGAGAGACATATGGGAAGGGAGCTGTATCGATAACACGAACACACCTCGGGGGAAACTAATTGACTGGATAAAATGTAACGAAGGCGAACACGATGTAAAAACTGCAGGAAAGGCAGGACAGGACTCATTCCTTTTCACACAGGCATACAGACAGGGATTGTGGAATGAGGAAAAATTTGGAAAGGAAACGGGAGAGAAATCAGTGCTCGCGACACCAGCGAAACTCACAGACGTCGATCCACAGAATAAATATGGAAGTAACATTAAATCACACTCTTGGGTACGTGGACAGAGTCCAGGAACTGATCGCACAAAAATTATGGATATCGAACAAAAAATCCTTGACAAAGGGAAACCCTCACAATTCGAGATAAGGGATGGAGAGATACATATGCAAACAAAAACATGTGAGACTGACAACTTCACAGATATAGGGAGGGAAAATGTTAAAGTAAAGTCGACAGGACATGCTCCACTAAGGGCAGAGGCAAAAACTGAAGGGAAATGGCAACACGCCCGACACAGCACAGACCAAAGTGACAGATTGCCTGATGATAACTTGTTTGATGATGACGCTGTCGGCAATCAACTTTCGGAATACCTATTCACCAGTAAAACCCTTAAATTGATGGACAAGGCTCTAGTCAGAATTCCCGATTTTGACCCCCACAATAAGACTATGGATATCCACACACATATCGCAACAGTAAAAGAGGAGGCAATGATTAGAGGGCTGAGGAGACGGGATGAAAAAGCGAGTTTGTTGAAACGGACCTTACATAAAGAATCTATTCCATGGGTAAAGTCACTACCACACAAGGTTAGAAATGATTTTAAACAATTGAGCCTGGCAGTGATTCGGAAGTTTGGAGAATATTCGACACTCACTGAGGGGTTTTATGCTGTAAAATCGATGACCCAGGGCATGGACCAAGATCCACGTGACTACCTCGTCCAATTTAAAAGAGCGTATTACGCAGGCGATGTGAATCAATACCACGAAGGAGATAAAATGTTCAAAATTATGTTTTTTGAATCCTTGAGCCCAGAGATTACAGAAAGGGTGAGAATGGTTTTGAATCCAGAAACCGCATCCTTACGCCGCATAGAGAGCAAGGCGTACATGGCATGGTTATACAGAGCTAAGAATCATAATTCGGATCCAGAACACAGGGAGAGGGATGAGGAACCCAGCCTCTCAGAGAGGAATAAAAATCACCGAGCAGTCCCACAATGCAGGACGGAGCAGAAACGCACGCACACATGGCAAAATAACCCAGAGAGAGGTTGGCACGAGAATGAGAGCGGCACAAAGCCGAACATTCAGGAGAATCGCAGGAGGGAGAGGTTCAGAACAGAACATATCAACACCCCATGCCCCGACATGCGCAAGGTCAAAATTACCCACAGAAATGGCAAAGTAACAATCCAGGAAAAATTTGGCATCCAAATGGGAGAAATACTGGGCCAAAAATGTACGAGAATCGCAGGAGGGAGAGGTTCAGAGCAGAACCATATCAACACCCCATCCCACGACACACGCAAGGTTCAAATTACGCACAGAGATGGGAAGATAACCACCTAGCGGGAAGGTGTTACACAGACCGCGGAGGTATGGATGCAAACATGTACGAGAATCGCAGGATGGGAGGTCAAAAACAATCAGTCCAATTACGACCAATTCCTCCACCGGCTATACCAGGGGGGAATAGAAGAATAACACAGAATGCGGCCCAAATACATGATGAACCATCCACAGTGAGTGCGAGCGAGCGGCCAACACGCGCCCCACCCGCCGAGGTGTTAAACCCTAAGCAGGCTGCAAGTGACAGGGCTGAATTGAAGTGTGATCGGACAGTACAAAAACAGACAGCAGGGACACGCCCTGAGGAGCGCAGGCATGAGCCTTTGAATGGAAAATATCCAAGGGAAACCAAAAATTACGTGGATCGGAGTGCTAAAATGGAGACGAATGTCCATGACGTATCGGGAATGGTGTTGAAATCCAACACACTCGTAAAAACAAAGAGGGCAACATTACGAGGGACAGAATTAAATCGACACACTGACTCGGCAAATGTGCATGTAATCGCAGAGAGAGCGAATGCCACGAACCAAGTGTCAAAGTGGGTCGTGTGCGCGAATTCTGGTTACGTGCAGCACAATTTTTCACCACACACTCCCACGACGCGAGAGAGTGAGAGAGGAAACTACAAAAACGAACCCGAAAACCGTGATCAAATTATCAAAGTGATAAGTGGTAAACCAGGCAACATGAGGAAGGTAACGCATAAATGCGTTCGAAACCGCTACCTAGCGTTTCCCAGGATTTAACAAAAACAAAAATGAATGTTCGTCAGAGTTATGATGTATGAGAACTGATGTAACGCAATATCGATGTTAACGTGTTGTTTATTTTCTTTGCTTATTTCAGATGTAACCAGGTTAAGATGGTAATACGTGCACGCGCGTCGTAAGAAATAACCGCCGAGAGTAAGGGCGGCTGATGGGATTCATGACATAAAAAGGGGGCATTACTTTGTTTGAAAATTCGCCAGTGGCCAAATCGACCCCTGATAATTTTCAAACGGGCGGACTGTTGTGTATGTACCCCCTTTTTATTTTTTTTAATATTTTTTTTTTTAAGAATTATTCTGCCAACATAGATGATATCGTTTTTTTTAATAGACGCGGCCACGTGGGAACGAACACGCCCCCACACTTCCACAGAGGCCCCCACACTACCACAGATGCGCGCACACCTCATTTCAAAGGAAAGAGGACATGAAAGGGGGGGCAATAAGGTAATAAAAACTCCCCTAAATTCACACAAGAGGAACAAGGGAGGGGGGAATGGCAGGCGGGGGGTTGCAGGGCCGGGCATCACGGAGGAAGAGATAATTATATTCTGAACAAAGATAAGCCGGGATATCAGATTAAATAATCACAAGAAGTCAAATAATAAGTACGGAATTAAAGTAGAAGAGGAATCAAGGGCGGAGAAGGCTCTCAAAATTAACCAAACACAACAACCCATGGGAAGCGAGCAACACGGCCGCCTTTGTCTTTCCGAGAGGATCTCCACACGCAGGCACAAAGCTAGGAAATGACACCCATAAAGGGGGCAATGGCTCAAAGGAAATTAACACGTCTTCGAATAAATAAGCGCATGCGCCGGGTGCTCCCACCGTGGAAACAACCGCCTTTGTCTCCCCACAACACGGACAGCAAAAATTGCACACGCGAGGAAATAACATTTCCGTGAGAGATCGGGTCACGATGAAACATCGTGAACACGGTTTCGGCATAACCAAGCAGCAAATAAGTCGCATTTCAACTTCCAAACCAAACCAACTTAAGCTGTGTGAGACAAAGGATGTGATCCCAGAGCAAGGAAGGGAATAATTAAGCTCGCTTAACGCGTAGGTTTTCGCGACAAATATTCAGTAACAAAACATGGATTCGAATGTTTTTTTTTATAACTCGACGCGAATCATCGGTCTGGCTAATGGATAACTTCGGTGGCACCGTCACGAGGCCCCCACCCCCACCCCTTTCTTCCAGAACGACACACATATGTGTCTTCAAAGCTAATAAACACACGGACAAACACGCACGCGAAACACACGGACGGACACACACACGGACGCAGATGGTTCAGCCCACAGGAAGGTTTTATGACACAGCCTTTGAACAACTCGGGAAGCCGAGTGGAATTTCCAGATATAAACCGAAGAAAAATCCATACAAAGCAGATCGTCAGGGGCTCTGGCCCCCATCACAGATCTCCAGGGCTTCGGCTCCATCTCTTCTCGTCGCCGCCAACGAAGAAGCTTTTCGTCATCCAGAAGGACGAGGATCGCGCGGTGCCGAGGCATCGCCTATCGCACACGAGTGTACGAGCCCAGCTCTCTTGCCGTGTCACCACGCCGAGGTGCATCGCCTGCCGCACACGAGTGTACGAGCCCAGCTCCCCTGCCGTGTCGCCACGCCGAGGTGCATCGCCTGACCACGCAAACGAGCGTGGCCGCGCCGTCAGTCATCGTACGGGGTCAGCCGAGGGAGGAGTCGGAAAGCGAGCCGCTCACCCTCTCGCCGCAGCTGCGCAAGCCAGAGGGTCCTTCTCCGAAAGTCGTTCGTACCCACAACTTCCCCCACCAATAGACCCACACACGCACGCATCGACGCCCCACTCACCTGTGAGACTATCCCATCTAGTTCACCCTTGCCATCGTATCAACCCTAGTCAATTATCAGAAGACTGATTATCAACTACATGAACCATCAGCTGGCCATGCAGAATCGCGGCCCATCGAGTGATTAAGAGTCCGTCGGTGATAAGAGTGAGGTTGTTACCGTGTCTTTCCCTTGTTCCGCTCATCACATAGGCGATCAATAGACTCGTCGAGGCAAACTCAACCTCTCGGAATCCTCATTACGAATCGACCGAACACAGAGAGAGAATATCTTGTCAAACCAGTTTCCTTTGTCCCAGAGTCTCGCCGAAGAATTAATTAAAACAGAGCCAGATTCGCTCTCGCGCCCACACGCCCTCACCCACCATTGTATCAAACATTCCGTTAAGAGGATTTTTATACTTGCCGATGAATCTATTGACATATACTTTCGCCTCTTGGGTATAATAAGTGCTATATTACCGCCATAGGAAGTGTGTCATGCTTGTTTTCAAACTCGACCAGTCGCCGATTGTGATCGATACATGGGCGAACTAATGAGATGCCTGGTAGGAAAAGTAGAGGTTACAATTGATAGAAGTGTTTTTAGTCATTCAGTTCGTTAAATGCATAAGTGTTTATTCATTCATTTTAGTCAAATGCATAAGAGTTTCGTTATTCATATTGCATAATTGCATAATTTCACAAATGCATAAGTGTTTATTCATTCATTTTAGTCAAATGCATAAGAGTTTCGTTATTCATATTGCATAATTGCATAATTTCACAACTGCATAAGTTTTTGTCGTTCATATTAGTTAACTGCATCATCTTGCCCATGAATTATTGACGCATGTTTGACCTGCATGATAGAATGTCACGTGTTTGTTAGAATAAAATTGTTATCACAGAAGCATATTGAGTGTTCTTTCCAAGTCCATGCAAAACCATCTTATTCATAAGAGCTGTATCCTGCGATGAGATATGAAAATGGAGACCTAAAATATTATAACACACACTAGGATAATCGGTAAATGAATCTATGATAATCGTGTTATCCTGATTGATAACTCTGGATAAACGAAACTAAGCAAATTATCATAACTGCACACATTAACATAATCGCAAGCCTCCGCATAAATTACTACGATTATCTCCGTGATTATCATAATTTATGCATATAACCACATGCATTATCATAATTTATGCATATTAATACACACACTATCATAATTAATGCGAATTGCGCATTTTTCGGAAAATTATTAATTTTTATTATTTTCATCAAAATTTCATAATTCCAACACATACAACAGTGGCACAAGGTGGTGGCCCTGCACTGGCCTGCATGTAGACAAGAGCCTGTCAGTAGAGGGCGATGGTTGATGTGGCACCTTGGTTGTGGAGTTTGTAGGTAATGTTTGGAATTTGCTAAATTTTGACCCAGACACCAGCATTCGTTTTGAATGGCGCAATAGTATTAGTTAAAATGATTGTCAATAATTTAGAATGATTACTTGTCTGATGGTGTGCGCACATGTAACATTTTGTCTATAAGGGTCAAACATTGAATAAGTGATGTTAGGACAAAGTTTGTGTTTTGCAAGTAACCTGTACAGATCACTCGGGTGAGACTCATTGTTCTTGTGATACAGGTCAAAGGGTACTTTTGTGTTTTCAGGAAGCGTCTGCCTCTGGAGCAACTCATTGTCTTTTAAATAGTGAGCACGCTCGGATCATTAATCAGTTACAAGGCATACCAATTAAAAGTTACACGAAAAGGAGGAACATTCTCTACAACACGAATTATAATTTTGTATTATGTGTTGAATTAGGACGAGAAATGGTCCTTGCTGATTGTAAAGTGACGAAAAAAATTTCACACGAGCGACGCATCCACGCAAGCTCCCGATGCTCCGTTTTGAAGTTTGAAAATGAAACAACTTTGAATTGTATTATGTTTTGAATTACATAAATGTACTTCTTCATTAAAAGCTTATTCATTGAAAACGATATTTCGTGTGAATTTTCTCTCGTCGTGAAGTAGATGGCCTTGCTGGGGGTTCAGTTTGATGCGGACTTTCACCTGTTTGGGATCGCGGGATCGAGATGAGGCGACACAGAGCTGGCCGTGCGATAAGACCGCCGTCTGCAGATCGATTCCAACGCGATCGAACGTCTGTCCCTGCCCCTCCGTCGTTCATGCAGGGGGCACGTAGGTTTGCAGCGCCCCCTGCATGAAAGCGACGGAACGTGCAGCGTTCGTCACGAAGTTGTGCGCAAGCGCCATAACAAGGCGCTGTAAGCTGACCTGCCACCACGTGCACTGGTCAAAAGGGAGCAGGCGAGAGAGAGCGAGGTGTGTAGGGGTCGACCAAAGGTTAAACCCCCGGCCCCCCACCGTGACCGGAGACTAACACCCCTGACCCCCCACTCATCCCTAAGGCCCATTAAGATCCTTCAGAAGGTTCTGGGACGGGGGGGGGGGGGGTCAGGAGGGGAGGGGTGATCTCGACCTGGGGATAAAAGGCCGGCCCTCTGGACGGACCGGGCAGTGTTCACCAACTCAAGCCTGAGGACATCCGAAGACCTGAAGACTGGAACAGTACCCGGGGACCCTCAACCGAGGCTCTTGTTAGAGCCGGGTTGTAGCGGACCCGAGGTGAGCTCAGACACTCTGGGACCTTCCCCCAGCTCTAGCCAGAGCCGGGTTGTAGCGGACCAGAGGTGAGCTCTAGTACCCTGGCTGGGACGGGTCGTCCAGTCTTCCCTTAACGCCGGGCTAAGGGACCCGTGGGTGGCAGAGCCCGGAGTGTGCAGGCTGCGATAGAAACGAGGCTGTCACTCCCGTAGGCTATCGGTTGGAAGGGGTCGTACCCCTTCGTGTTTCAGTCGTGTGTAGAGCCGAGTTCGAAAGAGTTATAATAAACGTGTTGCCTCAACCAGACGTCCCCGTGTGGTTAGTTAAGGACACAACACTTATATAAAAGAGTATAGCCAGTGGGTTTTCAAAGTACCTTCGTTTTACAGAAATCAATTTCGCGTGAGCCCACCGCATTGAAACAATGCTCAGCTGAGCGAGGCGAGCCCGGGAGGGGGGGGGGGGCTCACCTCATCTTTGTCACGTGCCGTAGCTCACGTGACATCTGCCGCGACAATGTCTGGATGTTTTCGCCTGAGAACGATCGCTCGTGTTGCGATCGAAACGTCGTGATTTATTTATTATTATTTTATTTGTTCTACCTACGTGACTTTACTGAAAGAACCAAAGAGGATGAAAGACGTCTTGTCTGCTGATCTTGTTCATATCCGTGTACATCGATATCCCACATTGCTTACACGTTCACACCACACACAATGAAATAAATAGAAACTAGAACGACTTCTGGGGATGCGCAAATATCGAGGAAACTTTCAATGGAGCGAGTTCAGTTAGTTCGATTCAACATCCTTCTGCCCGTCTGTGTCTCTGTTCGCCTCTGTGTGTTTCTCTCTGCATGTGTCTATGTCGTCTCTGTGTTCCTCTTGTCTGTGTCTGTCCACTTGTCTTGTCTGTGTGTGTTTGTCTATCAGCGTCTGTCCAACCGGAGTCAACGACTGTCAGTAGCAGCAGGCTCCCGTTCAACTCCCACTGCTACACGCCACTCAAACTTGCTCCCAACACACAAAGACAAACATCTCCCGTGTAGACTGGACAGAATGTCAGGGCAAGTGCTGTTAGCGAGCACCTAACACAAACACAAAGATCCCCCGTATAGCCTGCACAGAATGTTGGGGCAAGTGCTGTTAGTGAGCATCTAAGACAAAGACCCCCCATATAGCCTGGACAGACTGTAGGGGCAAGTGCTGTTAGCGAGCACCTAACACAAACAGAAAGATCCCCCATATAGCCTTAACAGTTTCATTTCATTTTCATGTGTTTGGTATAGCCCTGTGAGCCATTCGGCTCTTGAATCGGGTGCAACCGCAACAAATAAAAAACATGAACTAGAAAACATCTCAAAGTGACTATGCGCAAACAGAAAAATCCATGGAAAAACTGCAAAGTCTTCCAGAAAAAAGCACCGTACACCAACGCTGTGCAAAAATCCCAGTGGGATGCCAGTCAAACAACAACAACAACAACCACAAGACAACTTAGATTAAAGCCATCATTCTAACTCCGTACTACAACAAACATGGCTAAACCAAAAATATGTTTGAAATCACCAAAATAAAGCCATAAGCAATGTAACAGTGATCATAGGAACTGTGACCGAAATTTCACAATAAACGACAAAAAACATGTTCCACCAAATTTCTATTTAAAGCTTTCGTGACTGCAGGGATTCATCTTATTGGTTCTTTCGGTAAAGTCACGTAGAATGGAAATAATAAAAGAATAAAAATAATAAAATAATTCTCACGACGTTTCGGCCACAACGCAAGCAGCCGTCCTCAGGCGAAGAACAGGTCTGTCAGAAAGACAGCGTCTGAATGAACACCACCAGGCTTGGCAGCGTATATTTAAGCTGGGTTGGAGGGGGAAGAGCGCCTTGACAAAGGAATTCGCATATCAAGAGGGATTTAGCATATTCATGGTAAATGCAGGTATGTGATTAGTACTACTTATGCCCGTGCATTATGCAGGATTAGCAACATCAAACGAAGGGGATATGGGAAATGCAGGTATGTGATTAGTACTACTTATGCCCGTGCATTATGCAGGATTATCAGCATCAAAGGGAGGGGATATGAGAAATGCAGGTATGTGATTAGTACTACTTATGCCCGTGCTTTATGCAGGACCAGCATCATCAAAGGGAGGGGATGGGGGTAGCATTAACAAAGGGAATGGAATGTTAATAGTATGTAGCTGCAGTTAATAAACAACCACGTAAAAAACTAAAGTATAAACGACATAGTATCATCAGTATATTAAATATACTCTCCAATAAGCTGAGCTACTAAAAGTAAGTAATACATTACAATTCTACGTCGCAAAAATATAATATGCTTCCAGCTAAACTTTTTTCTCTTACATCACACGGGTCTACCCCGTACTATATACTACCATAGACAAACTCAACATTAAATTATATACTGTATTACTATACACCACTCTATACCTTCGACTATAATATTACCCTAAGTATTATTCTAGCCCACCCTACTGTATACCACACTGCTGTATATTCACTATACATTTACGATACTGTATATTACCTTATACATTGTATTAAACATTACAATTTTATACTATTTATACAATCTGCTATACTCATTGACCATCGCGTGAAAGATACTAAGAGGAAGCAACGAAATATGTCAATGGGAGAGTGGTGAAAGGAGACTTGCAGGGGAGCAAAGAATCCATTCGCTGTGGAGAATACAAGATATTTCGTCAATGCCAGTGAGTGTACTGCGGTCTTTTTTACGTGGTTGTTTAGTAACTGCAGCTACATACTATTAACATTCCATCCCTTTGTTAATGCTACCCCCATCCCCTCCCTTTGATGCTACTGGTCCTGCATAATGCACGGACATAATATGACTTTGAAACCCCCCGCCCACCTCCTACGCATTTACCATAAATATGTTAAAATCCTCTTGATATGCAAATTATTTTGTCAAGGCGCTCTTCTTCCCACCTCCCCCCCTCCAACCCAGCTTAAATATACGCTCCAAGCTTGGTGGTGTTTCGTTCTTCACCTGAGGACGGCTGCTTGCGTTGTGGCTGAATTTTAATCATGTTTTATTTGTATTATTTTATTACTTCCCTTCTACGTGACTTTACCGAAAGAACCAAGAAGATAAATCCCTGCAGTCACGAAAGCTTTGAATCGAAATTTAATACGATTCTTGCCCTGTACCCCCCACAGTTCACATATCCGACCCCTGGTTCGATTTAACAGATAATTTACATACATATGTATAGAGTGCGATTTAATACTTCTAATAAAGTTAAAATATCGTACCTCCGTTTATGGTGGTATAAAGTATTAAACCAGTTGATAGTTTATAGACGTTTAATGTTCAGTGTTATTGTTTATAGTGTTATCAGTTTACGTGTTTTTAAGTACAGGTGATCCCCGGTATACTTCGGTATTCTGGACTTGAACGTTGCAAAACAATTCCTAACGAAGACATTTCCCCACCAGAGCGCAAGCAGCTAATGAAAAGAACACCGGCGGCAGCACGTGCTTCCATGGTTGGTCAGGGAGAGGGCATGGTTGTATTGCCCACAGGTGCCATCGGGTATATCCGCCCATGGCCGGTTCCTGTCGAGGTCATCGAGGTGGGTGATGTAAAGACAGTGCGTCTACTAAGCGACAAGTGGTGACAACAGGATAGAGAGATTTCGAGAAGGGAAGGCGGGACCAAGTGTAGACGGAGGTTCATGCTGAGAATAAGAGAGGGGGAGAAACGAGGTTCGGTGCTGTGTTGGCCGGGATTCGGGTCGAGGCTGGTTGCCGTCTCGTCGTCATCGTTGCTATATTTTGACGCCTGGGTCCTAAGCCGCGTTAAAGGCTAAATAAAATAACCCTCTGTAGTCTGAGTCTGGAGTCATTACAATTTTAAGGATTCATAATTGCACTGGCTTATATTGGGTTTGTTCGATTATTTATATATTCATACTGTATATTGCTATTTGATGCCATTGAGATGGGACATTCATCCAGCAGTGGACAGCTTAATCCTAATACCACCAAAGTGTTATTCAAATAATTGTAATCCCATCCTGATCCTGCACCTTCATGTTTCACATTTCCCACCATTGGTTTGCACGTGCATATTACATACATACATGTTACATGCATACATACTACATACAGACATATCTCATGCATACATATTACATACAGACATGTTACATACTGACGAGCAAAGTGTGATTGCTAGAGGACCACGGTGTGAAGCTAAGAATTCGAATGAGATTCGATTATCACACTTCAATGTACGGTGTTCTAATCTGTAACACTAGTTCATGATGTCTTTTTATAGCATAATATATCGCTCATAGCTTATATTGTTAGAGTTCACAACATTATAGTTTACTAGAACACTAGTTTGTAGTGTTATTTTAAAGCGTTACAATGTGTAGCTCATAGTTTAAAGGTTATGTTGTTAGAGTTTATAATGTTAGAGTATACAATGTGAGTTTATATTTTGAGAGTTTGTGGACGTGCCCTGTTCTCGTGGGACCCGACACGGATTTGGAAATAATTGCTATGATCATGTCTGAGCTGGGATGAGCGACTAATGTTTACTTTGTTTAATCATAACTGTATGTAGGTTAGTGCCATCGGTGCTTAGTGAATACTACTCATGAATGGACTCAGACTTCTTCTTAGTTCTTTCGGTAAAGTCACGTAGAAGGGAAGTAATAAAATAATAAAAATAAAACATAATAAAATAATTCTCACGACGTTTCGGCCACAACGCAAGTAGCCGTCTTCAGGTGAAGAATGAAACACTGCCAAGCTTGGAGCGTATATATAAGCTGGGTTGGAGGTGGAATAAGAGCGCCTTGACAAAATAATTTGCATATCAAGAGGAATTTAGCATATTTATGGGAAATGCGTAGGAGGTGGGCGGGGGGGTTTTCAAAGTCATATTATGCCCATTCATTATGTAGGATTAGCAGCATCAGAGGGAGGGGGTAGCATTAACAAAGGGAGGGAATGTTAATAGTATGTAGAAGCCACCAAACATGTCAATGGGGAGCGGTGACAGGAGGCCCGCAGCGGAGCAAATAATGCTAAATGTCATCGAATAACAAAAGACGGAATATATTTAAATAAATAGACGCACAAACCCATTATAAACCCATTATAAACTCATGAGATTATAACAATCACAGATTTTGACAAAGCGAAATTCCCACAAGCAAAACACCACGCTCACGTGACGAATTCTTAAACAAACTGCAACACTCAAGTGACAGAACTCAACAAAAAAACGCCGCAATAAAAATAACATCAATGGACAAATCCTAAAAACAGACAACACACGCACGTTAGTAGCTGTTAGAAGAAGACAACACCTAGCACCTTCAACTATACACATTTAAGCTGGGTGCCTCAAGGATCCGCCACGTGCGAGGGACCGGTGTCTGGAGCCCGGTCAAATTTTTCATAGGAAGCCAGGGACCTGCCTAACCCTGTGGTGCGAACCCTTAACGCCCGGAAAGGCACAAGATTCCACCATGGGCAGGGGACTGGCGTTGAGAACCAGGTTAAAATGCGCAACGTAGCGATTGTAGGCTCCACTCCCAACAGCAATACTGTATAGTTCTATTCGGTGCCATTTAGTTAAAAGATTCAGCCAGCAGTGGGCAGCTTGATTCTAGTATGACCATAGTGTGATTATAATGATCTTGATGCGATTCTAAATCTGGCACCTGCCAGGCCGCATTTACGACTCCCGATGCGCATTTTCAAATAACGTTGATTCGAGCATATTGTAATTATAATACAACCAAAGTGTTATTCTAATACTTTAATCGAATCCTAATCCTGCACCTTCCGTTTCGCATATCCGACCCCCGATACGAATGTCCAAATTACATACATACATACGAGCATCGTGTGATTCTAATATGGCCACATTATGATTCTAATCATTCTTTTGTGATTCTAATACCACTCTTCAACATATGGTGTTCTAAACTATAACACTAGTTTATATATAACACTAGTTTATAGTGTTATTTTCACAGCATTATAATGTATTGTTTATAGTTTATAGGTGATATTGTTCACAACATTAGAATAATTATAATAGACCAAAGAGTTATTCAAATAATTTTAATCCGATCCTGCACCTTCAGTTTCACATATCTTCTATATTCAAGCAGAGTAAACGCTAATACGACCATAATGTTATTCAAATATTTTAATTCGGTAATCCCATTTATTCAAAATAAGCACATAATTACACACTGAGATCCACTTACATATGCATGCATGAAGCACAATGGGCACATTACCCTTCGGTATGTTAAAAGACATGCGGATTGTGCCTTCAAAAATTTACAATCGAATGCAAATATCCTGAAATGCAAAGGATTGGATCCTAGGGGGGGAGTTATAAGGCGGCTCAGAAGCAGAGCTCAATGCCATTTCGAGAGGAAACTTGATGAGGTTGGACGCTCGACTCGTCGCTCTGCTGATCGCCCTTCTACCGCGATTTTGCGTCGGGAGAGTTCGTGGCGACATCTTCAGACGGGTTCCAGACATCGATATACCGTGAATCTCCAAGTAAGTGTCTATTTTCGCGGAACGTGTTCTTCGTCAAATTAGCGGGATTTTTTTGCGTCTCGGTTAGACGCGAGTGTCGTTCTTGTTTTAGCAGTTAACAAAATCTAAAACTCAACGCTAAACATCCTTGCGGCCGATAGCGTACTTTTGACTCAACAACACCGCTACTGTTACTACGCTCACATGGAGAAGAGACGCTCCCCACAGCCCACGCACACGGAGGAAAGAAGCCATTCAATTCCTCTGTGTGTGGGAAGTCCTTTTCATGGCCATCACATCTTCAGAGCCACCAGAGAACACACGGGCGAGAAGCCGTTCATGTGCTCTGTGTGTGGGAAGACATTTGCACACTCGTCACATCTTCAGAGTCACCAGAGAACACACACGGGCGAGAAGCTATTCCTGTGTTCTGTGTGTGGGAAGACATTTGCACGGTCATCAACTCTTCAAGATCATAAGAAAACACACGGGTGAGAAGCCATTTCTGTGCCCTGTGTGT